CCAGCAAAGTCAAGGAACGATACGAAAAGGCCTTGGGGATTGTGCCGCATACAGCGCAGTAAGGGCAAGTCCGTGTGATGGTCAGTGTGCCGGCATCATTAAGAAAGGCACTGTCCCCCTCCCCCCGCGGATGTCAAACAGGCATTAATCATCCAATCCAGTCTTGTCAACCGTGAGATACGGCACGAGCAACGCACGGATTGAATCGTCCAGAAACTATTTAACCAGCGCCATTGATCAAACGGCTTATCTTGCGGCTCCAAACCTACCAGCCGCTGCGGACAACGAACAGAACCTCTGAAACACGACGAACTTCCTATGTTCTGAAAAACGCCAGTGCGACAGAGACTGAAAAGGCGGTACTGGTCCATCTTCCGACTAGCCATATTTCGTTTTGCGAGCCACTCGCTGCAAAAGAGTTCCGTAGCAAGTGAGTTCTGCTACCATCTTCGTTAACTCACAGAAAAGCCGTGAGGTACGGACCGAAGCATCTGTGTCTGTCGGTTATCCCGTAGACGGCCATATTGCGTAATGAATAGTAAAACTGATGTTATACTGGTATTATTTTGTCTTACACGTACTTTGTCACTATCATATCATCGTCTGTATTGGTCCTAAGTACAGCGAAACCGTAATTCTTCGATTCCGTACTTCGAACTTTGAGCTGCTCGTCTCATTCTCATTTCATTTTTAAGTCAAGCAACCTCCAGATAGATTGTGCTGGCTGTCGCCAGATAATATTCTATCAAGGACGAAATTTTCAGTATCTGTGGAAAGTGTTTATATGGGTTGAAGAGCGATACTTTATGTTTACGAGGTTCATGTGCTTCGAAAAGCGGTTCTTAACTGTCTGTCGGTGGCACATAGTGTTAGGGCGCTTGTTGTGACCATACCTGAGTGTGCAAGATTGCAGTAACGACATTTAACGTGCACAGCTGAGAGCCTCCTGTTCGATAGCTTTAAACCATGTACGATGTTTGCATATTAATAGTCGATTTTATGCATTAGTCATTTTTCGTTTTCTTTTTATGTTATCGATCATAGTAAAGTATAGTGAAGTTTGTTCGTTTCAGACCCTTGAACAACACGAAAAGCAGCTGAGGAACGAAAAGGAGCAGCTTTTGCGAAGGTGCAACGAGTTGAGGAGTCGCGTCGAGTCGCTTTCGGCTGAAAATCTGATCCCGAAGTCGGTCCTTCGTAAGTTCGGCCACGTCGCTGTCGATCTGCTGCATTTCTGTGACATCGTTCTCTTTCCTTGTAGAAGCTATGAAGCAGGAGCCAGCTTTCTTCAACGCAGCGGTGATGAACGGGGAGAGCAGTTCGCCGGTCGATGCACTCACTCCCGATGCGTATTCCGACGACGGAGCGTCCCCTGAAAGCGTATGTCGCAGAAAACGCTCTGTGTCACAGTGTTCGATGAGCACCGTGTCTGCCACCGAATTCGGTACGTACAGTGCATGTTTCGTACATACTTACATTGCGTCAGTAAAATGCGTTTACTGTTTCGAAATTTGCATAAATGAGTGTAAAGCATGATTTCTGAATGAATTACCGCTGCGGCGTAATGTTTTATTCACACGAGGTGCCGTTTATGTGCCTTGCCTCAGGAGATTCGAAGATGCCTGACCCTGCCCGTCGATTTGAAGCCAGGATCGTTCGGATAGGCGTCACAAACTCAACCGACTAACCAAGTCGTTCATCTGTATTAAATAGAGAAACAGTGGATCGACGAGACTAGGTTTTGATGAGGTAGGACGAGGACGTAAACTCTCTGCTGTTTATCTTTACGCTTATTCTAAATTCAGTCGGTTTGTTAATGAGAAACACCCGAATACGACGTAGTGACATCTACGGACGCTACAAAGTGAAGCGACTGGTCTGCAGGAGTTATGAGCAACTTTTGCAGCCTCCCGTTTTGATTATTTCATTCTCTTCGAGATTAGCGTAGCAGCAGCTTTCGCATCCTTAAGCAAGGCAGTGTGCGGTATCTGAATGGTGAGGGTATTTTCATAGTCAGGAAATCCGACCAGTGTCACCAGATGGGAGATTCAAGTATTATCAGGTTGACTGGTCCTCATAACGCTTCGGTGCGGCTTCTATCCTCATGATTATCATTAGCATAAGAGATGAGGGACCTGTCTGCCATAGCTCATTCTGTGAACATGATATGTGAACTTTACAAGTAGCACGCCATGCACAATGAACTGACTTCCCATCTCATAGAAGAATGCTTCATAGTGCAGTATGCGAATTGAATCGTCCAGTGCTGAACAGTGTACCGGGAGTTACTCGCTCTCTTCTCAGTATTCAGATTCCACGTGTGCTAGTGAGATGGACGTCACTCAATCATATGAGCTTCTTCTGTGTGCCTTATGTCGAACGGCATCAGGTCGTGATTATCTGGTCCTAGCTGATCGTCAACGCCTGATTGCAAAAACTGACCCTCGCTTGTTGCTCAGCTTCGTGGACGATCTGAGAAATAACGATCACGATTGGTATCGCAGATTCATATCCAAGCAATGCCATAAAGCTGAAATTTTCAACCAAAGTAGGTTTCGACACAAAAGTCAAGAGTACCTTAGATTTAACAGCCATGCAATGCGGGTGCAAAAATACCATTTAGCCGTTTTGACCTGCTTAAACGGCCCCCTTACCCTGTCTAAGAGGTCTGCTTCTAATTCCGGAGGTGCCGGATGCCTTCGATTTCCCTCAACGGCAATTTTTGTCTTATTCACGAATTCCCTTCAGCAAGAAATTTGCTGCATGTTGTTTCAGAATGAGTTCCTCAGTGGGTAGACGGTCGAACTCAGAACCGATTGGTTCCAAGTTCAACTCCCCGTCAAGGTCGCTCCCCTTTGTTCCTTCCGAGGTTAATGCCACACGGCTGTAGACTCGGCCTTAAAAAATAAGGCACTTCTGTATGATAAGTAGAACGGAGATCAGCGCCACACCGTTAGCTTCATGCGAAGAAGAGCGCCAAAACTCTCCAGTCATGAACGCGAAGCAAGACTGACATTGCGATGATGACAAGCTTTCTTTTCTAAACAGACTTCTAGTCTAGTGCAGCAAGGGACGTTGCGCCTACACCGTGTAAAATCCGGAACGGAACAATTTTACGTTAATATTCGGCGTATATGTTTATATTTTTAAATATTGCTAACTATTCATATGCATATTTTGTCCTACTATTTAAAAGTTAGCCGAGATTCCATATCACACTTGAAACTGTCGATGTAATCTGGCTCTGAAGTTTGATTCGCTTTGATCCGAAGCATCAGGCAGCTTGTTTATGGCATTTCTTGCAGAGTAAACACGTGCAAAATTATGTTGATAAAGCAATCGTGTTATGATACATGCATGTACCAATTGTAATGCGAACGTCAAATAACGAAATATCCATCCAAGACCAAATTTCACGGTGGTTACCCTGGCCCCTCCTCCTAATTGCCTTAAGGGGCTGTTTACTCCCAGAGCTACGGCTCCGTGAGATTTAAGCACGTCTAGGCGCCCGATGCATCATTGCGTCATTTCGTGTGCTAGATCCACCCAACAGTCATCAAGAACAATGTTTCAAGAGCTGGTACTCCTTGTATGCTACCTCATAGATCAATAAATGCGGTGATGTTGATGCGTTTGATGAATTTATTAATTTACAGCCGTGAGTAACCATAAATTATTGTTTACCAACTTCGTGACTTGTAGGGTTTAGCTCGTAGTCTTTATAATCGAATATGGCGTAAGGCACTGTGACGCTTAAGTAGGGAAATTTTTGATTGATATGTTGATATGACATTGAAATTTTTGATTGATATGACACAGTTGATTCGGAAAATTTCGAATTTTTGCTAGATATGAATGTTTACATGAATCCCGATGAGGATTATCTGCATTTTTAGAGGTAAGCAAAATCGCTCTATCTGAAACCCGACTAAATTCAGATACGTTGAATAATTTAATTTTGTTTATGGCATCCATCGCCGCAGATTTGTAGCT